CTGACACCCAGGCAGCAGGGCTCAGTTGATTTTGTTCGGCATCTCCTTGTTTTCCCGGCGTTATTGCTTGAAGCTTAATTTGTATTTGTACTTCTAATGACAAAACTGTGTGTCTGTTTTTCCCGTATCATTATAAAGTGCTTTGGTTTTTTGTGTGCAGTGAGATCCCACATTCTGGGGCATCCTCTGTGGTTGTGCTTGAAGATGCTGCTAAGTGATGGATTTTTCGGTATCTGCTAAACAACTACTGCATCTGAATAATACAGACACAGCTCAGGACCATCGATGCGAGTATACCAAATGATTTAAGCAAATGTCTAAATTAAACGTTTATTCATCAACGCTGGCTCTGGCCATGCTATTTTTAAAGCGAGACTAGAATTCACTTTTCTGATTTTCCCTCCCTCCCAGTAATAACACAGAATGTGGTGTCCCAAACATTTGAGAAAATGTGTTTCAGCATAAAATGTGTATTAGTTGATGGATTTTGAGAGCCAGTTTGGTGTAGTGGTTAAGAGAGTCAGTTTGGTATAGTGGTTAAAAGCAGCGGACTCTAATCAGGGAGAACCACATGCAGCTGCTGGGTGACCTTGGGTCAGTCTCAGAGCTGTTCTCTCAGAGCTCTTTGAGCCCCACCTACCTCTGTTGTGGGGAGAGGAAGAGAAGGAGATTGTAAGCCGCTCTCAGACTCCGACAGCATGGACAGTGTATAAATCCAATCTTCTTTGTCACAATCTTAGTAGAATCCAGGCCTCAGTTCCTGCCGGAGCTCACTGGAGCACCGCTCCGCCAGTCAGGAGCCAAGGGGGTGGGCACATAAGCCCCGTCCCCTGCTCCCACCAGCCATCAGTTGGGCACACAAGCGTTTGCTTTTCACTCAGCAAGAAGGATTCTGAACCCATTCCTGTGAGGGAATTCTCATCTTTGGTTCCAAGAGGCCTGTCAGAACTCATCACGAGATATCAAGAGATCTCAAAAATCAATATGTCGGCAAATGGAGCACTCACATGTGAGTCTCCGAGGGCTTGGGGTATGGGCCGCCGTGAGGTTTTGCGGCCTTCTTTTGATCGAAATATGTAGCACTTTTCATCCCATCGTTGTCAGTCAAGGGACACGACATTCCCCGGTGCCTTTGCGTCGGGGTAATAAGTACACTTATATGCAACGTTAATTTGTGAGAGGAAGAAGATTTCTCGGGCGGCGCTGACCTCATCAATATTGATATACTTGAGAGCTGACATCAAAAGCGACACGGTTTGAGTCTCGGGGGGGTGGGGGTTGGTTGTGCTTTGAACATAGTTCCCCCCCTTTTTAAACCCCAAAACTTCAGAAAACAAACGGCGAACGTCTCACAAGAGCTAGTAGTGTGTTTTTAAAAATCCAAACGAACACCATCTTGAGATTGGGCTTGGCGTTTGGATAGTTTCAGGAAGGGGTGCCAGGCTCTGGGTAGTTCCTGGGATAACAAGAAGAGAAGAAGAAGAGATTGGATTTATACCCCGCCCTTCACTACCCAAAGGAGTCTCAGAGCAGCTTACAAACTCCTTTCCCTCCCCCTCCCCACAACAGACACCCTGTGAGGCAAAAGAAGAAGAGATTGGATTTATACCCCGCCCTTCACTACCCAAAGGAGTCTCAGAGCGGCTGACCAGGCAGCTTTTTCACATGTCCACCACATATGATAAAATGAACCTTCATGTTTTCTACATTTCCAACATTTGTTAGAAAAGTTTTGGTTCATGTTGGCTATTTTCTTGGGTGTCATATACCACCTGTACATCATTTTATAACAGTTCTCTTTCACATTGGTACATGACGAGATCTTAATCGAATTTTTCCACAGATATTCCCAAGTCCATAGAGATCTCAGTATTAACATTTACTGCCCATTTAAGCATTTGCTCTTTCACCGTCTCATCTTCCGTATATCATTTTAACAAAATTTTATATACAGTAGAAATCCTTTGCCGTCTTCTTTGACCTTCAATCTTTCCCAGCATCAGGGTCTTCTCCAGTGAGTGCTCCCTTCTCATTGGGTGGCTGTATCAACGTTAAATCACATGGGGAGGCCCTCCTGATTGTCCCACCAATCAAAGCAGCTTGTTTGGTGGGTACATGAGAGGGGATCTTTTCAGTGGCAGCCCCGTGATTACAGAACAGCCTCCCCAGGGAGGTGTGCTTGGCCCCCCTCTTTCGGAAGCAGCTCAAGTACAGTTGTCAGCCTCCAGGTGGGGCCTGGAAATCTCCTGCTATTGCAATTGATATCCAGGAAAGAGAGATCACTTCTTCGGGAGAAAATGGCTGCTTCAGAAGGTGCAGTGGACTCCATGGCATTATGCCACACACAGGTCCCTCGTAGAATCACAGACTGTTCGAGTTGGAAGGGACCTTGTAGGTCATCTAGTCCAACCCCCTGCAATCTGCAGGAGCACCGCCGAAAGACAGCCCTACAACATACCTGAAAGATGGTCGTCCAGCCTCCGCTTGAAAATGTCCAGCGAAGGAGCATCCACCATCTCCCGAGGCCATCTGTTCCACTGCTCAACCACTCTTACAGTTAGGAAGTTTCTCCTGATATTTATCCGGTAACGATTACCCTTCCTGGTAATTTCCACCCATTAGATCGAGTCTTGCAATCCGGAGCAAGAGAGAAGAGATCTGCTCCATCTTCTACATGACAGGCCTTCAAATACTTGAAGACGGCAATCATGTCCCTTCTAAGCCTTCTCTTTCCCAGGCTAAACATACCCAACTCTTTCAGCCTTTCCTCGTAAGACTTGGATTCCAACCCTCTCACCATCCCGGTTGCTCTCTTCTGGATACGCTCGAGCTTGTCAACATCCTTCCTAAAACGTGGTGCCCAAAACTGGACACAGGACTCCAAGCAAGGCCTGACCATAGCAGAATAGAGCGGAACTACCACCTCCCGTGATCTGGACCTCCCCAGGGTCCAACCCCGCAATATTTCCCGTTACTTCACCATCCAGAGTCGGCAACCTTAAGCTGAAAACTATTTTATTTAGAACAAAGTTTGAGTCCAGTGGGCACCTTTAAGACCAAGAAAGTTTTATTCAAGGTATAAACGTTCCTGTGCATGCACATTTCCTCAGGTATCCTATCAAGTTTATACACAGAATTAACCTTTGTGGGTCTTAAAGGTGCCACTGGACTCCAACTTTGTTCACATTCAGTGTATCTGAAGAAGTGTACATGCACACAGAAGTTCATACCCAGAATTAAACTTTGTGGGTCTTAAAGGTGCCACTGGACTCCAACTTTATTCTACTGCTTCAGACCAACACTGCTACACACCTGGATCTAATTTTTTATTTAGGTAGGGTTACCAAAGCTAAAAAGAGTGCATATATCCTGACTACTTCAAACAAGTGATCACTAGGAGGACAAATCTCATATTAAATACCCCTACTATTTAAGCTGTGATCATGGCTACTAATGAGGAATATTCCTAACCCTCCAGGCCCAAAAGAGGACATTTGCATCAGTTTTTTTAAAAAGATCCCAAAAGAGGAGGGACACACACAATAAAGAGGACACGCCCTCTAAAAAGAGGACATCTGGTAACCCTAATTTAGGACAGCGTTTAATTAAAGCTGCCCTAAAGGCGATTTTAAATTTAATGTAATGTATCTTAAATTTAATGTATTATATTAATACAGTAAGCTGCGGTGGCTCAAGTGGTTAAGATGCTGAACTGCAGGCTGTGGAAGGTCGGTAGTTCAGCAGTTCGAGACCCGAGTGTGCCGCGTGATGGAGTGAGCTCCCGTCTCTAGTTCCAGCTCCTGCCAACCTAGCAGTTCGAAAGCAAGAAATTGCAAGTAGATGAATAGGTACCACTTCGGTGGGAAGGTAACAGCGTTCCATGTGCCTGCGTGTTTAGTCATGCCGGCCACATGACCAAGGAAATGTCTTCGGACAGCGCTGGCTCTTCGGCTTTGAAACAGAGATGAGCACGGCAACCCTATAGTTGGATTGGACTGGCTTTTGGTAATTTTTTTAAGCTGCCTCGAGCTCCGTATGGGAATAAAAGGTGGCAAATAAATATTTCAAATATATAAACAAATGTTTTGTACTCCTATTCGACACAATTATTACTATCTTTTTAAAAATTCTGGGGGTTCGCAATGTTCCCTCCAAGCTGTGGGGTCTTGTGAGCAAGAATTCTACTTTGTGGGTTACTGACATTAAAGTTGTGAGTGAGCCATTTAGGTAGTGCATAAATCAGGTTGCTCCGGAGCCATCCCTTCCTGAGCTGAGACAAAAATGTGTGAGCTGGAGGCTTAAAAACTGTGAGCTAGCTCACACTAACTCGGCTTAGAGGGAACACCGGTTGCAAAGTGTCCTGCTCTACTTTGCAATATTGGGATGCAAAGTCGGCTAAGCCGGATGCCGGATCTTGCGCCGAGATGGCCTCAGCGGGAGAGATACGAGGGCGAGGCGGTCCCTGACGTCAGGACTTGCGGCCCGTCCTCTCCTCCTTAAGACCGCTCTGCCCTCGTCCATCATGGCTGCCTCGGCATCGATTGCGCTTCCCGCCGCCCTTCCGGCCAGCCAGAGCTTCGCTCTCCCGCTTCCAAAATGGCCGTCACGCAACCTTGCGTCACTCAGAGCCCGGATCAAAGATGGCCGGCGGGCCGCGTTCAGTTGGGCTTGACGCTCGGAGTCAAAGGGGAGCGGGGAAAACCCGAACAGCTCGAACATCCGGTTAGAAACGGACCACGGCTGAGCGGCGGCGGCCGCATTTCCCTCGCTGAGGCGCGGCGACCTCAGTGTGTCCATGGGGAGCGAGGCGGCGGCAGAGTCCGCGGACGCGCCGCCGTTCCCGTTTGTTGAAACGAGCGTCAGGACAGGAGGGGGAACCCTCACGGGTCCACTCGGGACCGGAAGCGTGCGCTCCCTCAGCCGCCGGAAGTGACGCGTCCGAGCGGCCGGGGCGGGGCGCGCACCCCGGCGAGCGGCCGTTGCGAGCGTTGCTGGCCGCGCGGCATGCCGGGAGACAATGGGCTAAGTGGGCGGCCGTGTGGAGGGCAGCGGGGCTGGGCGGAGGCGCTGTCGGAGGAGGAGGAGGCGGGAGGGAGGAAGGAAGGAAGTGCGGGATGGAGTTGTCCTGACGGCCGCCGCCGCGGAAGGCCCCGAGTCGCCCCTCTCGCAGGAACCCCCCCGGCCCGGCTTGGCCATGCCCGGCCCTGCAGGAGCAGCAGCAGCAGCAACGGCCCTGAGGTAAGAGGGAAGCCTCGGGCTGAGAAGGGGAGACGGGGATTCCCAGCGGCCCTTGCGAGCACCCTCGAATGGGGAGGGGGGACCAGGGG